AGGTTGAGGGGGGACCTGATTGAGGTCTACAAAATCATGAGAGGTATAGACAGGGTGGATAGCAAGAAGCTTTTTCCCAGAGTGGGGGACTCAATTACTAGGGGTCACAATTTCAAGGTGAGAGGGGAAAAGTTTAAGGGAGATATGCCTGGAAAGTTCTTTACGCAGAGGGTGGTGGGTGCCTGGAACGCGTTGCCAGCGGAGGTGGTAGAGGCGGGCACTATAGAGTCATTTAAGATGTATCTAGACAGATACATGAATGGGCAGGGAGCAGAGGGATACAGATCCTTGGAAAATAGGCGACAGGTTTAGATAGAGGATCTGGATTGGCGCAGGCTTGGAGGGCCAAAGGGCCTGTTCCTGTGTTGTAATTTTCTTTGTTCTTTGTAAAGCCAATGTTGGACCCTTAGTGCAACTGGGGAATTATGCACAGGGAAACAGCAGATAATTCAAACAAAAATTTTGCTTTGGTTTTATAGTGGAGGACTCTATAAACATCTCAAAGATAACACATAAACAAGATGCTCATGAGAGGAAAGATCTTGTAACTGTATCTATCATGAGGGATAAAATATTTGACAAACTAATTGGGAGTAAAGGCAGACAAGTTGCCACAATCTGATGGCCTGCATCCAAGGGTTTTAAAGGAACTGGTTGTAATGGTAATGGAGGCATAGGTTGAAACATTTCCAGAACTTGCTAGATTCTGGGAGAGTTCCAGCGGATTGGAAAATTGCTATTGTGAGACTACTGTTCAAGAAGGGAAGGAAACAGATACCAGAAAACTATAGGCCAGTTAGCCTAATATCTTTCAATGTGAAAATGCTAGAGTCAGTATATTTAAAAAATCTTAAGGCACTCAAACAGAGTCCACATAGTTTTATGAAAGGGAAATTATTAGACAAATTGTTTGAGTACTTGAGAATATAACAAGCAGAATTGATAAAAGGGAATTAATAGATTATTAGTTATTGCACAAGATAGGGGCTCACAGTATTGGGGGGAGTAATGTATGAGCATGAATTGAATGTTGGTTAACACATAGGTAAAGGGTCTGGATTAATGTGTCTTCTTCAGGTTCAAAAGCTGTTACTAATGGAATGCCACAAGGATCAGTCCTAGGGCCTCAATTATTTACTTTCTGTAAATGCCTTGGAGGAGAGAGCATAGTGTAATGTATTTAAATTTTCTGATGATACAAAAATAGGTGGGAGGGCATGTTGTAATGAGAACATAAAGAATCTGCAAGGGATATATAGAGACATTATGTGAATGAGCAAAATCTTGGCAGATAGAGGTTAATCCAAGAAAGTGTGAATACATGTAATTTAGTTGAAAGAATCAAAAAGCAGACTGTTAAAATGGAGATAAACTCGAAAAACTTACTCTGCAGAGGGATATAGGTGTTCTTATGCATACAAGACCGAACATTAGCATGGTGTAGTCCAATCCAAGATAGCAATGGAGTAGCAGGGCTGCATGCGAGCTCTTGCCTGGGCTAATCTGCTCCCGCATGCTTTTTTCTCATCTTCCTGCTGTTCGGGACTGGTGGTAAAGCTCCTCCAGTGGTCGGAGGAGGTGGCAGCGGCAGCGGACTTTTCAAGATGGCATCGCCAGCAAGGCGACACCTTGGAGGAGGACAGTTGGAGCAGATCTGTTAGCGAGACGGTGGCAGCAGGCTAGTCCAGCAGCTGGGCCAGGAACTCCTAGTTGCAGTAGGCCCAGAATGGGGACTCCTGGAGGTGACAAGGTGGTGCTTTGTAGCTGCAGCAGCGTGGTATGCCCGGAGCCGGGACTCCTGGCATCATTGAGGCGGCAGCGGAGCCGGGGACTACTGGTTGCAGTGCAAGTGTGGGTTCAACACAGGACCTAATGTTGGCGTTGGTGGGGGTTGGCCCAGTGGCGAAGAGATGGTGCCTGAAGAGTGGCGACTCCTGCATTGGTGAGTCTGACACAGGCGGTGTTGAGGCGATGGAGAAAGAGTGGCAGCACAGGTGTCATTGGTAAGCTGGCTCAGGACTCTCTTTCAGTTATATCTTTTATCCTTTATTTTCTTGAATTATCAAAATGGTGCCGAATTGTGGCAACTGTTGAAGCTTTTCACTGTATTTTACCGTATTATTCACTGTAAAATGCAAGTGCCAATAAATAAATCATTTATTCATTCATTCATTCAGTAAATAACTAAGAAGGCAAATAGAAACCTGGCCTTTATGGTTAGGGCTATGACGATGAAGTTTAAAAAGAGGGAAGTCCTGTTACATGTGTTCAGGCTGTAGGTGAGGTCACACCTAGAGAACTATGTATAGTTCTGGCATTAGTGGCAGTTCAAAAGAGGCTTAAGAGGCTGAGTCCTGAGATGAAAGGGTTCACTTATGCAGAATGGTTAAACAGCTTAGGATTTTATTCATTAGAGTTTAGAAGCATGAGGGGTGATCGTACTGAAATATGCAAGACTCTGAGGGGGCTTGACAGCGTAGATGTTAAGAAGATGTTTTTGTTAATGGAGAAATTATGAGCTAGGGGACATAGATACAAAATAAGGGGACACTCATTAAAACTGAGATGTGAAGGAATTTCTTCTCCCAGAGGATAGTGAATGTCTGGAAGTCTGTACCCCGGAGAATTGTGAAGATTAGATCACTGAAAGTACAGCAAACTTTGTTTTAACCAGCATTCTTGGCAAACCGGCAAAAATTATACACCTCAAATGCAGTGTAGTTTACTCTATTTTTCTATTTAGTTATTATAGCCTTTTTAAATTTTATTTACCTCAATGTAAATATACATGTTGTTCAATTGAATGGCCGCATGAAATACCAACAGTTAACTTTGTATTGTCCAATCAATTTACAGTCAATTTCTTCTCAAATACTGCAATTTATCACTGTGTCTGTATTATTCAGTTGAAGGGCATAAGTGAGAAGGCTCCCCTCAGTAAGTTTTATTTAAGGCAAAATTACATTATTATTTAAGTGATTTATGCTGGAAGTAAAGTATAACAGTGATGTGTATACCCTGCATTACGTTTCTATTACTTAGCGTGTGTTTTTGCATTGAGATGTGAGTATAGGAGGTATGGTTAGTAAGTTTGCAGATGACACCAAAATTGGAGGTGTAGTGGACAGTGAAGAAGGTTAACTCAGAGTACAACAGTATCTTGATCATACGGGCCAATGGGCTGAGGAGTGGCAGGTGGGGTTTAATTTAGATAAATGTGAGGTGCTGCATTTTGGAAAGGCAAATCAGGGCAGGACTTATGCACTTTATGATAAGTTCCTGGGGAGTGTTGCTGAACAAAGAGACCTTGGAGTGCAGCTTCATAATTCCTTGAAAGTGGAGTGGCAGGTAGACAGGATTTGGAAGAGGCGTTTGGTATGCTTGCCTTTATTGGTCAGTGCATTGAGTATTAGAGTTGAGAGGTCATGTTGCGGATGTACGGACATTGGTTAGACCACTTTTGGAATACTGCATGCAATTATGGTCTCCCTGCTATAGGAAGGATGGTGTTAAACTTGAAAGGGTTCAGAAAAGATTTAAGGATGTTGCCAGGGATTGGGGGGTTTGAGCTAATGGGAGAGGCTGAATAGGCTGGGGCTATTATCCCTGGAGCATCGGAGTCTGGTGGGGTGACCTTATAGAGGTTTATAAAATCATGAAGGGCATGGATAGGGTGAATAGCTAAGGTCTTTTCCCTGGGATGGGTGAGTCCAAAACTAGAAGGCGTAGGTTTAAGGTGAGAGGGGAAAGATTTAAAAGGGACCTAAGGGGCAATTTTTTTCATGCAGAGGGTGGTGTGTGTATGGAATGAACTGCCAAAGGAAGTGGTGGAGGCTAATACAGTTTACAACTTTTAAAAGGCATCTTGATGGATATATGAATAGGAAGGGTTTGGAGGGATATGAGCCAAATGCTGGCAAATGGGATTAGATTAACTTAGAATATCTGGTTGGTATGGATGAGCTTGACTGAAGGGACTGTTTCCATGCTGTACAACTCTATGACTCTATGACCACTTGATTATCTGGAATATTTGATCAATTGCCATACTTCTGGTCCCATAGGTGCTGGATAATACAAAGTTTACTGTAATTAAAAAGAAGATAGATCTTTGAAACATTGAGGAGTTGAGGATTATGATAAACTGGCATGAAAGAGGAATTGGCCGCTGGGCAGAGCAACCATGATCTAGTTGACTAATATGGCAGCTTGAAGGACCGAATGCTCCTTTTCTTATGTTCTTACTGTGACCTACAAACACTTAACGACAGTCAATAACAGGGGATGCTATACCAGCTTATTGCCCTTTTATCTACTTCTCCATCAATCATCTCATGCACTTTGTAGCTTGATATAACAAGAGTTTAAGACATTGGTTTTGTAATACAATCTTAGGATCATGTTTGGTTATGTTTTAGTGTAGTACGCAACTTGTTACATGTTATTGACTATTGACTAACTTGTATGATTGATTTCCACATAAGAGTATTTAAGTTCATCTATTTTGAGAATGTCAGAAGCTGCAAGAAAGTAATCTACAAAAGCAAAATTCTGCAGGCAGTGGAAACCGAAAAAGCCAGAACATATTGGAAATAATCAGCAGAACAGTCAGATTTTGTGGAGAGAGATCAAGAGTTATAAACTTTCTTGTTAATAACTTTTAATCAAAACAAAAAAAAGCTCTGCTTGAATTTTGAATGTAATTGTCATACATTACTGAATCGATGTTGGATCACACTATAAGTTATTTGTTGGTATATTTGTATTTGCGTATGAAAATAATTACCTTTACAAGACAGTTCATTATACAGGATTTCAATGTTCTGTGTAAATATTAAACTTTCCCTGCCCAGATTGATGTGACAATCGATGATCCATCTAATTACTATGTTCAGTGGAAATGAATGGGAATACATTTTGTTACTTAATGGTTCCTTGAGCTGTTTGGTAGGGTAGGATCTGGACTGAACATCAGCTGATTAAATTCTTTTCTCCCTTAGTTCTGCCTGTGGTTTTCACGCAAGAACTTAAAAACACAGAAGCTGATGAGGGTGATATGGCCACTTTGTTCTGCGAGATTACCAAACCTGATGCTCCAGTGGAATGGAGGAAAGGCATTGTGGCACTTCAGTCAGGTGATAAGTATAAAATGAAGTGTGAAGGTTGCTGCGTTCAATTGTCTATATACAATCTAAAGCCAGAAGATCAAGGAGAATATACCTGTGATTCAGGGGATCAGAAGACTACTGCATTTCTAAAAGTGAATGGTAGGAGTCACTTCAGTATTATATCATTTAAATCTAGAAGAAAATTTAATTCACAGTTCTCTGTCTTGAAGCATTTAATTTTCTGTGTGCTATTTTGAGATATGTTACTTGTGAGTCTTATTTCTCCTTGTAGTCAGTCATGTCACACTTTATTTCCTTTTTTTCATCTGTTATCTTTACGTATTAAATTAATTATGGTGATTCAGTAACCCAAAGTGAATTTCTTGATGTTTAAAAAATGTTTACTAACATGATTTCTGGAAATAACTGATCTGCATGGTTCAACATTTGTGTCTTTTGTGGATAGACATTTGATAGGAAACCCTGTCAGTAAATGCAAAATCTGGACAAGGATTCAGTTAAAGCAGATTACACTGGAATTTGGAAATATCTAAAGGGCCTGAAAGTAACAAAAGTTCAGATTTGGTCCTGATAAGAAGAAGCATACGAGCATAGGAATTATGCATCAAACAAGCATTCTGCACTCCTAGCGACTTTCATGATCCTTTCTGATTAGACATGGGAAGTGATTCTCATGTAAAGTTAGTATGCTAAGTAGAATGTTTATTGGTCTTATCTTGTATTGACAAATAACCAAAGTGAAATCGACTAGAAAGGAGCCTTCCATTCACTCACTGGTGGACGTGGCTTAATGGTAATGTCACTGATGAATGCCGAACCTGCTTGGATTTAAATTCCACACTGCAGCTAATAGAATTTAAATTCAATTGATAAATATGAAATTCAAAGCTAGTCTAATGTTGACCATGAAAACATTGTTCTAATAACCCATCTAGTTCACAATTGGAAACCTGCTGTCCTTACTTGGCCTGGCCTTCATGTGACTCTAAATCCACATCAGTGTGGTTGACTCAGTAATGCCTGAGTTATAAAGAACTGCCATGATTCCTAAGAGGAATACAACTGAATGGACTACCTGACATGGATAGAAAGCCTAGTCCTGTCAACACTACTGAAGTCCTCACTAACATCTAGGGATTCATGACAACAGTGGCTTAGCTGATCAAGCAGTAGCCTGGCATTGTCTTTAAGGCATGATTCAATGAGTATGACAATGTCCCAGACACTACCAGCACCATCCCTGGGTGTGTGTTGCCTCACCAGCAGGACAGGTTCAATAAGAACACAGGAAAGCATGCCAGCAGCAGTACCATCATGATTAAAATGAAACCTAAAACTGGTGAAGCTACAAGACAGACCCATTTCCAGCCAAACAGCAGAAGCAGCTTACAATAGAAAGAACTAAGTGTTCCCACAACCAGTGGATCAGATTTGAGCTCTGCAGTCCTGCCACATCCAGTTGTGAACAATGGTGCACAATCAAATACTCAACAGGAGGAGCAAGCTACGCAAATATCCCCATCCTTAATGATGGGGAACCCAGTGCATCTGCGAAAAAGACAAACTTAATAATCCAATATTAAACTATGTAGGCTAACATTGCAATGTTCTGTTGCTAATTGATAGCAGCCTGTCTTCATAACATATAGACTTAACACTGAAAGTTAGATTGTTTCAGAAAGCTTTAGGATAACCCTGCAAGTTTATTTTGAAAGCGGTATGAGGATCAGAGCTAGATAGCAAAATGAATTTTGCCTTTTTTACTGAGCTGTTATGTGGAACTCTTTTAGGTGACTAAACCTGAGCTATCCTTAGATGCACATCAAAGTTTAAAATCCCGACGTTTTGGAATCTGAGCCTAGATTGCCCAGCCTCACGTAAAATGATGTGTGCCTCCATGTAGACAGAATAAATGCTCTATATCAGGAAAATGGTGTATTTATTGACATTGTACTTTAATTGATGCAGACAGCATGAGAGCAGTAAGATGTGAGGCTGTCTATATCAGTATAATCAAAATGTTTTTGTTAAATATTCAGTTTATATAATGAAAGCAATGCCTTAATATTTATCAATTATGTTGAATCTTTTTAATTAAAATTCTTTCAGTTGCCTGCTGTAATTTCCATGGAATCGTCATTGAAACTCAGGAAAAATAAGACAGTTTTTGGAATTTTCAAGTATTTTCACAGAAGTAGCATCAGCTGAACAGGAGAACTGTTATGGAAATTTAATCCTTAGCTAATTTACATAATTTCAAATAATGTAACTGCTGATATTTGTAGTATAATGTAATATGAAAGTTATGATGATGTGATTGATGATATGACTTTACATCTGTAAGAGAGATTGAGAGAAGACATCAGACTGGAAGATGCAGAAAGAGATTCTTTGGCACTAGACCAGAGTTACATTTAGTAACTTGTAAAGTACAGTTGTACATAAAAAGTATTACAGTACATCAGGAATGGAAGAGCCTAAGTCAAGGATAAGGTGCCAGAAGCTTCTTGGAGCGTACATATAGGTACCAGCATGGGAATACTAAGAAAAAATACCTAACTATGTTGGTTGCAGTATTAACCTAAAGCATAGAATAAAGCATGGTGGCAGCATGGGAACCTGTATGGGCCAGAATGACGAGTTAGATCCAAGTCCATAGAACATAGCTGAGAAGTGAGGAGACTTTGTAGATACTGCTGATAAAAAAGAGAACTCCAAATGACAAGGAAAGAAGTTCAAAGACTTTGAGCACAATACAACAGGTTGGGCAGACTCCAAAGGGTAGGAAAGGAACTTTGGAACACTTTGAATCCAAGCCACATATGGGGAACATCTGGAGAGTAAAAGCAGAGAAATGGAACCCTTCAACAAAAAGTAGCAAAATGTAAATTCTCACCCAGGTCAGTACAGTGCAATACTCGATCGGGTGGCAACAACAGTAGAGATTTGCTTTGTTAGCCCTGCCAAAGAGCATTACCTCAAACCTTTCCAGGTTAAATTCCATTTACCATTCCTCTGCACAGCTGATCAGTCCATTGATATTCTCCTGCAGTTTACGTTAATACTTCTACTATTTACCACCCTACCAAATTTAGTATTATCGACAAACCTCTTGATCATACATCTTATATTTAAGTCCACATCATTAATGTACATCATGTACAGCAAGGGCACCAGCACTGTGGGACCCCATTGGATTCAGATATCCAGAGTCGGGAACATCCCTGTACCATCACCCTCTACTTCCAGACCTCTGATGAAGTTATCTAGACACAAAACATTAGCTTGCTCTCTCTCCGTGGATGCGAGAAGAAAAATAGTTTTAAAATTCAGTGCCTGAATGAATGACAGCAGTTTTGAAAACTAGTAGTTTGATATCCATGGCAGACTTTGTAAACAACTGTTTGAACAAATAGTAATTGAAATTCAGATTGCAGATGATCTGGAGCCAAGCTCGTGATGGTAACAAGAAGTTACTTGGTCTGTGGGTGAGTGACAGTTATCAATGACAGAGACCTTTTGCTTGCCAACACTGTGTGATTAGCTCTTGGGTGGTTAAGCAGCCTGGAGCTAAAAACAAGTTACAAAGAAGGAGAGAGGAGGAAATATGCAGATCTTCTCCCAGCCCAGAAACTAAATTGATAATGTGCATTGATAAATCAGAGATATTTTCTAAGTTAAATCAGTTACTCTGTATTTCTTACAAACCAAAGGAGGCATCCAGAGAAAAATATCTGAACACTAGGAGTCGGGCCAGCTGAAGAAGGATCATCTCAATATCGGAATTGAGAAGCAAAAACCGATGAACTGACCTTTTCTACATCGACCAATAATATATATTCCCTATTTGTTTGTCTGTGTGTGCAGGAGGAGTTTTTAAGGGGATTAGAATTTTAGTTAGTGTTGTTTTATGCAAATGGTATATCTGTTTACCTGTAGCCATAGTCTAATTACTTGTATTCAATAATAATTCTTGTTTAGTATAGAAATCAATCTCTGCTTTTTATCAGTCTTGGCCTGAAAGTTAAGTAAACTTGGGTACTGTACATACTTTACAAAAGAAATCTTTAATATTTGTTATAGCTCAAGGAGTAGCAGCACTCAATTTATGGTGCAATAGCCAGTAGGGTGTAACAGAACCAAAAGTTACTGGAAAAAGCAGTAGCTGAACAATGGAATGTCATCAGCGAGGAGATAATATCATGAAGGAATTAAAAGAAAATTGAGGGGACTAGATACAATGGATGAGAATGAGCCATTTCTGTTAACAGAAAAGTAAATAACTGGGGCAAAGATTTAAAGTAATTGATAGAAGGAGTAGTGAATTTTTAGAATTCTCTACACCAAAGGACTTTTGAAGCTCAGTCATGAAGTAAGTTCAAATCAGAGATTGATAGAATCTTTGTTACCAACGACATTAAGGAATATGCTGATCGTGCAAAAATATAACATTGAGGTGGATGATCATCCATGATCTACAATGGCAGAGCAGGCTGAATGGGTTGAATAGCTTCTGTTCCTATTTTCCAATTTTATTAGTAAAGAATAATTGATCTTTATCAACCAGATGGTGGTCTGGAACTCACTGCCCAGAGGTGTGGCAGAGGCAGAAAATCATAGCATTTAGAAAATACTTGGATACACAACTAACCTAGGACAAAAACAGAAGTTGCTGGAAAAGTTCAGCAGGTCTGGCAGCAACTGTGAAGAAAAAAATCAGAGTTAATGTTTTGGGTCCGGTGATCCTTCCTCAGAACTGGATACAATGGATAAGAATGAGCCATTTCTGTTAACAGACTTTGACTCCATCCCCTCTCCCAGCCCCACCTCCTGTCGGGTATTCACCATCCCTCCTAACCTTCCGCTCTCCGATGCTGAACGTTCTGTACTCAGCAAAGGCCTCAGCTTTATTCCTTTGCATCCCACCTTGACAAATTTCAGGCATGAAATGACGCCGAACTCTTCTGCCGTCTTCGCCTCCGTGCCCATTTCTTTGGACAAGAGTCCTCTCCCTGTCCCACAGACCCCTTTGCCTGTTCCAGCACTCTCCCTCCACCTGCACCCCTCCCTCTAGCCTTTTACCTGTTCTCGATCTGTTCATTGAGAGCTATCGATGTGATATTAGTCGCCTCAATTTC